GTTGCAATTGACTCCACGGCAATGGGCCCACATGCCTTTGGGTCCCACCTGCCTGGGTGCAGCACATTGCAGCCTCCTATCTGCTGACAAAGTGCACATGTCTGTTGGGAGGGGCAGAGATGGGACACGAGGTATTTCTGAGTTGACTCTTCATTTGCAGGTCTTTCCACTGAGGAGCCTGTCCCCACACTCCATATGACCTTTGACCCGAGGAGAATGAAATTATCTTGGGACTGCAGAGAAAACGCCACGGTGGAGTCGTGTGTGATGATCCACACGGACCTGGGGGAGATTGAAATGAAGGTGTGGAGGAGTTCCTGTATCCACGTGGACATTCACAGGGTTGACGTGGTTCAAGCCACTGCAGGTGCAGGGCGCCCCCAGGGGCCGTGACGTCGGGCGTGCAGGGGGTGCTGGCTGTGTCTAAGGTGACTGGGGGCTGCATGCTCGGGGGGCTGTGGAGAACTCTTGTCCTGAGAGAGAGAAGTGAGCTGGGTCTGTGGAAAGGAGGGGACAGTGTGGGTGGGGTGCCAGGTCTGTCGTGGGTCTCCTTGCAGCCCCCAGGGGCTCAGTGTCAGGTAGGAGGACACTTCAGATGGAGGTTCACTATAGAGCTAGACAGACAAAGGGAGAGAGACGGGGACAGAGGGATGGAGAGACAGAGAGAGACAGAGAGAGGAGGAGGACAGGATGTAGGAAAAGGAGAGAGACAGAGAGAGACACACAGAGACAGACAGAGACACACAGAGAGATAGAGAGAGACACACAGAGACAGAAAGACACACAGAGACAGAGACACAGGGAGACACACAGAGAGACAGAGAGACAAAGAGACAGAGAGAGACACACAGAGACAGAGAGACACACAGAGACAAAGAGACAGAGGGACAGAGAGAGACACAGAGAGACAGAGAGAGACACAGAGAGAGACAGAGAGACAGAGACAGACACAGAGAGAGACAGAAAAGAAGAGGACAGGATGTAGGAAAAGGAGAGAGACAGAGACACACAGAGACAGAGATACAAAGAGACAGAGAGATAGAGACACACCGAGACAGAGACAGAGACACAGAGAGACATAGAGATACAGAGAGACAAGCAGAGACAGAAAAACAGAGACAGAGAGACAAAGACACACACAGACAGAGAGAGATACACTGAGACAGAGAGATAGAGACACAGAGAGACACATGGACACACAGACACAGAGACAAACACAGAGACAGCGACAGAGAGACAGCCAGAGACAGGGAGAGACAATGAGAGAGATCGAGAGAGGAGAGGATGGGGGAGAAGGAGAAGAGGAGGAGACAGACAGACAGACAGACAGAGGAGGAGGACGACAGGAGGGGGGAGAGGCAGCAAGGACGTCCTGTGAGTTAAAAGCATTACCAAGCGCCTGTCAAGCCTGGCCCCCAGGGAAGCCCTCCCACCCCCTGGGTGGGCAGAGGGAGTGCCCGTAACCCAGGCAGGGGGCGCCCGAGGCGGGGCTGCGGGGAGGGGCAGAGGGCACCAGCGACGCCCACACCTGCCGCGCCGACCTTGCCTGGCAGGTGCGACCAAAGGCCAGGAGACAGCGTGTGGCTGTCACGGGGAGCTGCCCCAGCGCTCCCCGAATCTGCAGGGAGGGCTTGCCCAGGCTGGACCGCCCCCCAGCAGCCGTGGGTGAAGGCGACGGGAGACCGAGGGCTTCCTCTGTGTCCACCAGGTGTGGCTTGCAGAGACCACCACCCACCTCCATTGCAACTGTGTCATTCCTCAAAGCCTGGTAGACAGTGCTGACAGCAGGTATTACTGGCTGTCCTCTTCAGTGGAAACACAAG